TTAATTGATTCTCCATACTTGTTAGATTATAAACTTGGAATAGGAAAAATAATTTACTAATCTGGTACACTTATCATAAGAATATATATATATGTGTATATATATATACATACATACATATATATATAATCATTTACTAAAGAGAAAAATCTGTACGTATAATATAATCACCTATTATAAGCCAAGAACTGTGCTAGACTTAATAAATTGAATGACATACAATTCCTCTGCTTCATGAGCTTTCAGCTTTCTGGTGGAGGATGAGTTTGATGTAGACAAGTAACTGGCAGATACAATATGCTGTGCTAAATGATGGAGAGGTGTACAAGGTGCTCCTCGATTGTACATGAGGGACACTTGACTTCTGTGTTGTGGTGGATTGAAGTGGGTGACATATAAGAAGAATCAGGAGTCCTCCTTGTGAAAGTTGGAGAGGGGAACAGAAATGAGGCTGACCAAATAGAATAGGTGGGAACCAGACTTTGAAGAACCTTACAAGAACTTGTTAAGTGGTTATAATTTAATTTTGATATTGAATGTGGGGCCTTTGAAGTGCTTTAAGGAGGAAAATGGTACATCCAAATTTTTATTTAAAAAAAAAAACACATGTGGGGGATAGATTTAGGGTTGGTTTGTGTGTGTGTGTTTGTGTGTGTGTGTGTGTGGGTGTGCGAGTGTGTTTGTTGTTGTTTTTTTGTTTGTTTTTGTTTTTAATGGGTTTAGGGGTGAGGAGAGCTGGAGGCTATGACAGAAATGCAGGGCCAGTAAGATGATGGCTTGTATTGCCTGGTAAAGGAGTACTGACGCACTGATGGCAAGTCTGGTCTAGTTTTTTTCTAATAAGGTGTCAACCAGCCCTGTGAAACAAAAATAAATAAAAAGGTGATATGGGTTCATGGATGCTTTTTTTGTTTAGTTAATCCTCACTTGAGGATATTTTTTCCATTGATTTTTAGAAAGTGGAAGGGAAGGAGGGAAGGAATTGGGAGAGAGAGAGAGAAAGAGAGGGAGAGGTGAAAGAGATGCATGGATCAATTGCCTTCTTCATGTACCCCAACCAGGTCCAGGGATCAAACCTGCAACCCAGGTACCTGACTTTTACCAGGAATCAAACCCTACACCCTTTGGTGTGAGGGCCAGTGCTCTAACCACTGACCACACTGGCCATGGCCATGGATGCTTTTTTCAAATCATAAGTGCACTTATTTCCTTTCCGTGAGATGGTTGTGGTGAGAAGCTATAAGAAGTTCATAATAAAACCAGGATGATAGGGATCATGGTGTTATTTTCCCCCCCAAATCACCTCTAGGTTCACTTTACATGTTGGGAAGTGAGAACAGGGGAGGCTGATGTGGCCAGACCTCCTGCCCCCAACTTTGGTTAATTGCCAGTGGTTTGGAGGTCAGTTGTTTTGTTATCCTTTTCCCTTCAGTGCCTTCCTGTGACAGTGGCATACTTTAACTAGAGTTGAGCGTGGCATTTGCCCCGGAGAAACATGTCCACACAGGGGGTGCTGACAAGTCTGTGCTGGCCTTTTCTTGTCACCGCATCACCACTTGGCTCTGTCTTGTCTAGGTACCTGGATGGAGTGGGGGAAAATGGAGCTGCCCCAGTGCTCCTGGAGCTGGCCAATGAGGTAATGTTATTGTTATTATTTTATTTTAACCTGCATGAAACCTAAGGGGCCTCTCTAGAGTAGCTTTGCTTAGAATTATAATTAACCTTTGAAAAAATAGATTTTGAGGTGCATTCGACATTTAAATTTCTCCCTAGTCTGCTTGTACTTTTAATAATTGGACAAAGAACCCCATAGATTAAAAGATCAGTTAACGCAATTAGGCTGCTTCTTTTGAGACAAACGTATAAACAACTTCTTGGTTTCTTATTTTGTGGGAAATTTCAACCAAACAGTTCAGGACATGCTCTTCTTTGGATGTGTTGTCCTAATTTAGTGTGAGAAATACCTGTGTCAAGAAAGGGATGGATGCCAAGAAAATCTGTGCTATTATAAAAATGAAGAGAGAAATTGTATACTTAAAGATGTAACATTTACTTGATTCATTTTTTTGTTAGCAAACTTTTATTATAATAAAATATATGTACCTTGTAGAAAAGTCTCTTTTTATGAAGAAGCATACTGTTCTTATTAACACCAAGTATAAAGTGATTTATTCTGCTTATTTGTTCACTCTGATCTGCTTCTGTTTGGGGAAACCAGTAATAGTCTTACATTTGAAAAAGGAAACCCTAAAGATTTCCTATGAATGAGGAAGCTATAAGAAGTTCATAATAGTTGCAGAGAGCATACTGAAAAAAAATATTTAATTCCTAAACTTTAAAATATTTATCCACTATAATAAGAGCAATATAGCATTTAGTGTGACTTGGAACTGCTTATGCAAACCTCATAGGGATGGAATGAAATGTACACTGTTTTCATGTTGCATTATAATGGAAAACATAGAAGCAAGGCAGAGAATGTGTGTTTGCATTAAAGATGACTTGGTACTGTGAGCATTAAGTGTTGCAGTAGCAGCAAGTTCTACATGTTACATTAGCAAGGAAGGATGGCTTCTCTCACAGCTTCTGTCTGCTGTACAATCCTATAGTCAGCAAAGGAGCAATTACCTCTCAGTTACTAGAAGCTTGTAATAGTCGAGGCAATGTCTACACCATCGGATAGGATAGTTAACATATAGAATGCATTGTCTCTTCTCCACCGAGCAAAACATGTATTTTATTAATTTTTTTCTATTTCTAGAGCAAGGTGGTTTTTAAGTATCTCTAGACTTGTGTGTTGTGAGTCAGTTCTATTAGCAGTTGGAGGTATTTTGCAGCTAGGATTTAGTGGTTGTCCTTAATGAAAAAGAAGAGTGAGCTAACAGCATTTTGGGTACAGCATCTAGAAAGAATGTGATGCAAATGCGGTACACATTTTTATAGATGATATTGACAGCATATGTTTTATATAGGAGCAGTTTATGTTCATTTGAATTTTTAATGGATATTTTTGATGAGCTTAGCTTATTTAACTGACCTCAACTTCCATCTTCTAGTAATATGGAAAATTTTAATCCACTGACACATTTTTTTTCTGTATCAAAAAACCTATTATTTACTGCAAACATACAGCAATATTTAACCAAAGAAAAGAAATGGTTATTTTCCTTTTTCTTGGCTGCAGCTTAGTACAGAGATCATTATATTCTGAGAGATTTCTAATGCATTAGGGAAATTTGGGAATGACTGGTACCAGATTATGGTTTCTAAACAACCAAAGCTGCCATTTTTATATGATAGTTAATACTTAAATGACATATGCTTGCATCTGGTGACAACTGATGTGCTGGGAATGCTTTATGAGTCAATATATATTTAATCAGTGGAAACTGTAAAAACTGATGAGAAATATATAACATTGGCACATTACAGTGTGCAGTGGCTCTCTGAAACAGGAACTCTGCATTATTGTTGATTTGGGGGTAGGGACTATATGTGACCATCACTGATTTTATAAATGTCTTGATACCAATTTTCCTATTTCATGGCTAAAAATGAACATTTTAGGGAATCTCACTTTGTTAATAATAATAAGATCAGTCATTCTGCTCTCTCCACACAAATATTTTCAAGTGAGATTTGAAGCACTATGAATTTTACTTACATGCTAAATCCTGACATGAAGCATGATGGCCCTATTTCAGAGAAAGATGGACACATGATTAATATGAAAATTAGGGAGATGCAAGTACCTGAACTAATAAGGTAGTCCTTATTCAGGCTGGACTACCTTCAGTAATTTCACCATTTTTCATGTGTCAGCTCTGATGTGGGTTACTAGGAATAAGCAGCTTCGTGGAAAGCATTTCTTTCTACTTGGGGAATT